AAATAGATTTACTTTTACGTCCGTCCCGGGACATGCATGCATTAATTTTGTTTCTATATTTTATACTAACTTATTTTTAAGTGTTTTTAATTTGTAGGTAAAGCTTATGTGGAGACGAGGGAGTGGCCGGATGATCGGACGACCGTAGAGAGTATTTCGTCCCTTTCTTTTTACATTTATGCATTTAATTTAATTTAGCATTATGCATATAGAAATAGATTTATTTTTACGTCAGTCCCGGGACATGCATGCATTAATTTTGTTTCTATATTTTATACTAACTTATTTTTAAGTGTTTTTAATTTGTAGGTAAAGCTTATGTGGAGACGAGGGAGTGGCCGGATGATCGGACGACCGTAGGGAGTATTTCGTCCCTTTCTTTTTACATTTATGCATTTAATTTAATTTAGCATTATGCATATAGGAATAGATTTATTTTTACGTCAGTCCCGGGACATGCATGCATTAATTTTGTTTCTATATTTTATACTAACTTATTTTTAAGTGTTTTTAATTTGTAGGTAAAGCTTATGTGGAGACGAGGGAGTGGCCGGATGATCGGACGACCGTAGAGAGTATTTCGTCCCTTTCTTTTTACATTTATGCATTTAATTTAATTTAGCATTATGCATATAGAAATAGATTTATTTTTACGTCAGTCCCGGGACATGCATACATTAATTTTGTTTCTATATTTTATACTAACTTATTTTTAAGTGTTTTTAATTTGTAGGAAAAGCTTATCGGGAGACGAGGGGATCCGCAAAGATCATTCGATTTCGATTTCAAATCCAAGGTAAGTGATTTTAATATTATTTTATGGTTTCCTATACATATATATACTAATATCTATTTTAAATATTTTTAGATGCATACGAGAGGGAGTGGCTGGTTGATCGGACGACCGGATACATCATATGGAGTTATTCGTCCCCTTCTTTTTACATTTATGCATTTAATTTATTTTAGCATTATGCATATAGAAATAGATTTATTTTTACGTCAGTCCCGGGACATGCATGCATTAATTTTGTTTCTATATTTTATACTAACTTATTTTTAAGTGTTTTAAATTTGTAGGTAAAGCTTATGTGGAGACGAGGGAGTGGCCGGATGATCGGACGACCGTAGAGAGTATTTCGTCCCTTTCTTTTTACATTTATGCATTTAATTTAATTTAGCATTATGCATATAGAAATAGATTTACTTTTACGTCCGTCCCGGGACATGCATGCATTAATTTTGTTTCTATATTTTATACTAACTTATTTTTAAGTGTTTTTAATTTGTAGGAAAAGCTTATCTGGAGACGAGGGGATCCGCAAAGATCATTCGATCTCGATTTCAAATCCAAGGTAAGTGATTTTAATATTATTTTATGGTTTCCTATACATATATATACTAATATCTATTTTAAATATTTTTAGATGCATACGAGAGGGAGTGGCCGGATGATCGGACGACCGGATACATCATAGGGAGTTATTCGTCCCCTTCTTTTTACATTTATGCATTTAATTTATTTTAGCATTATGCATATAGAAATAGATTTTTTTTTAAGTCCCGGGACATGCATGCATTAATTTTTTTTCTATATTTTATACTAACTTATTTTTTTTAGTGTTTTTAGTTTGTAGGTAAAGCTTGTGGGGAGATTAGAGGAAGCGCAAAGATCTTTCGATCTCGATTTCAAAACCAAGGTAAGTGATTTTAATGTAATTTTGTTGTTTCTTATGTATATATAAACTAATATCTATTTTAAATCTTTTTAGATGCATACGGGAGGGAGTGGCCGGATGATCGGACGACCGAATACATCATAGGGAGTAATTCGTCCCCTTCTTTTTACATTTATGCATTTAATTTATTTTAGCATTATACATATAGAAATAGATTTATTTATAAGTCCTGGGACATGCATGCATTAATTTTGTTTTTATATTTTATACTAACTTATTTTTTTAGTGTTCTTAGTTTGTAGGTAAAGCTTATGGGAAGATTAGAGGAAGCGCAAATATCCTTCGATCTCGATTTCAAATCCAAGGTAAGTGATTTTAATATTATTTTGTTGTTTCCTATGCATATATATACTAATATCCATTTTAAATCTTTTTAGATGCATACGAGAAGAAGTGGCCGGACGATAGGACGACCGAATACACCATAGGGAGTAATTCGTCCCCTTCTTTTTACATTTATGCATTTAATTTATTTTAGCATTATGCATATAGAAATAGATTTATTTTTAAGTCCCGGGACATGCATGCATTAATTTTGTTTCTATATTTTATACTAACTTATTTTTTTTAGTGTTTTTAGTTTGTAGGTAAAGCTTATGGGGAGATTAGAGGAAGCGCAAAGATCCTTCGATCTCGATTTGAAATCTAAGGTAAGTGATTTTAATATTAGTTTATGGTTTCCTAAACATATATATACTAATATTATTTTTAAATCTTTTTAGATGCATACGAGAGGGAGTGGCCTGATGATCGGACGGACCGAATACATCATAGGGAGTAATTTGTCCCCTTCTTTTTATATTTATGCATTTAATTTATTTTAGCATTATGCATCTAGAAATAGATTTATTTTTAAGTCCCGGGACATGCATGCATTAATTTTGTTTTTATATTTTTTACTAACTTATTCTTTTAGTGTTCTTAGTTTGTAGGTAAAGCTTATGGGGAGATTAGAGGAAGCACAAAGATCCTTCGATCTTGATTTCAAATCCAAGGTAAGTGATTTTAATATTATTTTATTGTTTCCTATGCATATATATACTAATATCTATTTTAAATCTTTTTAGATGCATACGAGAGGGAGTGGCCGGATGATCGGATGACCGAATACATCATAGGGAGTAATTCGTCCCCTTCGTTTTACATTTATGCATTTAATTTATTTTACCATTATGCATATAGAAATAGATGTATTTTTAAGTCCCGGGACATGCATGCATTAATTTTGTTTCTTTATTTTATACTAACTTATTTTTTTAGTGTTTTTAGTTTGTAGGTAAAGCTTATGCGGAGATTCAAGGAAGCGCAAGGAAACTTCGATCTCGATTTCAAATCCAAGGTAAATGATTTTAATATTATTTTTTTGTTTCCTATGCATATATATATACTAATATCTATTTTAAATCTTTTTAGATGCATACGAGAGGGACTAGCCGGATGATCGGACGACCGAATACACCATAGGGAGTAATTCGTCCCCTTCTTTTTACATTTATGCATTTAATTTATTTTAGCATTATGCATATAGAAATAGATTTATTTTTAAGTCCCGGGACATGCATGCATTAATTTTGTTTCTATATTTTATACTAACTTATTTTTTTAGTGTTCTTAGTTTGTAGGTAAAGCTTATGGGGAGATTAGAGAAAGCGCAAAGATCTTTCGATTTCGATTTCAAATCCAAGGTAAGTGATTTTTATATTATTTTGTTGTTTCCTATGCATATATATACTAATATCTATTTTAAATCCTTTTAGATGTATACGAGAGAGAGTGGCTGGATGATCGGACGACCGAATACATCATAGGGAGTAATTTGTCCCCTTCTTTTTACATTTATGCATTTAATTTATTTTTAAGTCACGGGACAGGCATGATTTAATTTTGTTTCTATATTTTATACTAACTTTTTTTTAGTGTTTTTAGTTTGTAGGTAAAGCTTATGGGGAGATTCGAGAAAGCGGAAAGATCTTTCAATCTCGATTTCAAATCCAAGGTAAGTGATTTTAATATTATTATGTTGTTTCCTATGAATATATACTAATATCTATTTTAAATCTTTTTAGATGCATACGAGAGGGAGTGGCCGGATGATCGGATGACCGAATACATCATAGGGAGTAATTCGTCCCCTTATTTTTACATTTATGCATTTAATTTATTTTACCATTATGCATATAAAAATAGATTTATTTTTAAGTCCCGGGACATGCATGCATTAATTTTGTTTCTATATTTTATACTAACTTATTTTTTTAGTGTTTTTAGTTTGTAGGTAAAGCTTATGGGGAGATTCGAGGAAGCGCCAAGATCGTTCGATCTCGATTTCAAATCCAAGGTAAGTGATTTTAATATTATTTTGTTGTTTCCTATGCATATATATACTAATATCTATTTTAAATCTTTTTAGATACATACGAGAGGGAGTGGCCGGATGATCGGACGACCGAATACATCATAGGGAGTAATTCGTCCCCTTCTTTTTACATTTATGCATTTAATTTATTTTTAAGTCCCGGGACATGCATGCATTAATTTTGTTTCTATATTTTATACTAACTTATTTTTTTAGTGTTTTTAGTTTGTAGGTAAAGCTTATGGGGAGATTCGAGGAAGCGGAAAGATTCTTCGATCTCGATTTCAAATCCAAGGTAAGTGATTTTAATATTATTTTATTGTTTCCTATGCATATATATACTAATATTTATTTTAAATCTTTTTAGATGCATACGAGACGGAGTGGCCGGATGATCGGACGACCGAATACATAATATGGAGTATTTCGTTCTTTTTCTTTTACATTTATGTTTTGCATTTATTATAGCATCTTGCATATAGTAATAGAATCATATTTACGTCCCGGGACTTGCATGCATTAATTTTTTTTAAAATTTTTAATTATCAAATAACATATTTTTTTCCTAATTATATCAATTTAGACTAATATAACTTATTTTCTAATAAAAAAAATACAAAACTTAATTAAAACTTAATATTTAAAATGTGGGCTGGCCTGGCCCGGTATAATTTGAAACCGGGCCATGCCTTGTTTTGGGTTTTCAAGCCCAATCCAAAATCAGGCCGGTCCTTTCGGGCTTGAATTTTAAAACAACCCGAGAGAAACCAAAAAAATATTACTCTTTCCCTAGCAAAAAATGCACTGATTTTTTGCGTGTCGGAATGAGTAATATCAGCCTGAAATTGCCACACTTTTTTTACTAAATATGATGTCAACTTTCTCAAATTATGGAAGCAACATACCTTAAAATTTGAATCCACCGATATGCTGAAGCCTTTTCCTTTATATCCGTTGATATGTTGAAGTCTTTTCCAACAATCCATTTGTATCGAATTGCAATGGTGCTGCACTAGAGAAGCCATTTCCCAATGCTTCCACATATACCTACTGGAAGTAAGAGATTAAGTAAAAAAATAAAAATCATGATTACACTGGTCTTTTATATAACTGTTATTATGAAATTTCCAAAGCATTATTATTACAAAATACAGTTTATCAAATTCTTTAAACTAAGACTATTTAATACCAACTCACAAACAATCTATTCATATCATCTTTAATGTGCCAACATAGCATAATTCATGGGAAAGAAACAAATGCCCGTTAGAAAATTATTAAGCACAACATTACAACTATTTTGATCGTTATAAATAAAATTTGACCCCTCTGCCTTACGAAAATATGTTCAACAATTAGTGGACAACAAATTAATATTCACACATATACATACACATGAATACTGGAATTTTAAAATTGTAATTATATTGCAAGCCTATATAGGTAGTGCTCATATTCAACTAGAATGTTGCTACTTGTAGTACAAATGGCAACTGTTCTTGTGGCTTTTATGTTCAAATCAATGATCAAAAACTGTCAACCGCTCTGTAAATATGGGCTCAACTGTATATAATAATTATTATAATAACATATACAAATTAAGATAGGTATTACCTTATACATAAGATATGTGTGTCCTTTATAAATTTTTCATTCATTCTACGTAAACACTCAACAAATTCACTATTTAATAGTACTCAAACTAGGACACACGTGAGTATTCTGTTAGTAATAACTCGTAAGCAATTCCTTACAAGAAAATTCAATAAATAATTCTATAAGTAAATTACTCATGACATCAATCACGAAATTTCATCCTTGACTAATTTGCACACATAATTATAGTTATTTTACAATTTCTTACTAAACTATGCACAATAACTTGACTATGTTTCTAACTTTCTATAAACTAATGGATATATAGGATCAAGCAAAAACCGTGGCATGATAAATTGACATTTTAAGGTGCAGAAATTTGAAAAATTACACCACATGAAGTGAAAGAATCGACCTTTGATGCAATTAACTATATATTTCAACTTTATAAAAATGTAGTGCACCTAGTAAAACATAAATTTATCAATCGAAAATAAATGCTATCTTCTTCATTTAACATGATGGAAATTACAAAACCGAAGCATATTTGATGCCTACATGTAGATTTCCAAGTTGCAAATGGTGAATGATTAGAATACGATAGACACCATATTAGCACATTGCAATAGCTTAATCCACTAAAGTTTTAAGAATCTCATTATTATATAAACTTCATTCAATCTACTTTCTTGCTTAGGAACATAATCTTATATTATATATCTCAAATGGGGGTAGAAAATAAAAATTTCACAAAAAAAAAAGTTAAAATACTTACAATTACATCCATAAAAGGAATAAAATAGAATTGATGGCATATGATGTACTTCTGACTTCAAATTTTCTATCGGTATCTGCACCCATACAAGATTAAACAAACATGATTCAGTAGTTAGTAACTGTAATGAATGTCATGAGATCATATCATTTATACGAGGGGTTGAAGTGGAAGAGAAATCAACTAAACTCGCCAAAACGGTTCAAACCGCCAGTTACGGTTTGTCAAAATATCAAATCGAAACCGAACCTTCCAAATAACGGTTTTGGTTACGGTTTGACGGTTTCGATTACGATTTATAAACCGCCGGTTTCAATTTAAAAACCGTCGATTACAGTTTGAACCGCCGGTTTATATATATTCATTTTTAATATTTTCCTTTTTTATTTTCTATTTTTCTAAATTTGAATTTAATTTAAAATTTATTAAGTTTGATATCAATTTTATTCAGATATATTTATTATTTATTTATTATGTAAAAATCATATATATAAATAAATAATTAAATTATTACATTATAAAAATAATTAAAATAATAAATATAGTAAATAATTAAATTAAATTTTAAATAAAAAAAGAACATAAAAATAAATGTAAAAATATTGATATGATAAAAAATTACAAAACTTAAATATATATAATAGTATTATTTTTTAATATTATTAATAACTATTGATATTTATTAAGATTAATATTATTTTTATATTTAGAAAAGTTTAATATATATATATATAAAAAATTAATCATAATTATAATATCATTATTATTAATATACACAATTTACCCTAAATTCCTAATCAATAATACATTTACACATACTATATCATCATCGACAGCAGACGGCAGCCGCGCCAACAGGTTTTCCTTTTCTTTTCTTTTCGGTCTTCCTGTTCCCTCCTCCCTCTTTCCTCTTTTTTTTCTTCTTCTTTGCCTAGCCTCCCTGTGAGTGGTGAGAGATTTTTTTAAAAAAAAATAATATAAACCGCGGGTTCAAACCGTTACGATTTGGAAAATTCACAAACCGAAACCGAACCGTGGGATGACAATTTCGGTTCGGTTTGTGCCGGATTTCGATTTGAACCGTAACCGTCGGTTCAAAAATCGGCAAACCGAAGGTTCGAAACCGAATGGGCAAGTCTAAAATCAACCTTATTCCATTCTAAATCAAAAAAGATCTCTGGACATATATTAGTGATAATTAACCATGAATTGGTCTAACAAATTTACAAAACAATATCTATCATGCAGAAATTTCGTAAATTTAATTAAAATTCCACATTGTTAGGTATATGGCAGTAATCTCTAAATAAAAGAACCACGAAGAATAAAATAAATTTTAAACAAACCTTTCGACGAAACTTAACAAAGCAAGTTGAAATATTAAAATTGCAACACCTGATTGTGAATAATAGCTTAAATCAATTGGCACTTAGAGAACATAGAATTTCACTTCCTTCGTACATAATTTAAACAATATTTTACAGAGCAACACATTATTCACAAATCCCTATATACTACTTTCATAATAGGTATGCAATATGTGTTTCTTAAAAAGTTCACTACCAGCGGACTAATGTTTCAAATATATGTTTTCATGAATTCAAACATCAAGTATAACTTTCATCATAAATAGGCCGTTTGAAATAAACCACTAAAACATTGGTCTTTGCATGAAAATAACAAACAAAGTGGCATGAAACGATATTTCTAGAAGTTCCCTAACAAACATATCATATTATCCTTCTTATGCATGCATCTGCATTATCAACGTCAAGAGGCTAAACAACAGCAAACATTTGAAGAGTAACGGAAATTAACCAACTTCACCAACAGTTAAGACTCATGACTACTCACTTGAACTATTAGTAGTACTACTATAGCTCTTTCTTTATTATAAATTGTAAGCATGGCAAAGAGATTAAGGAAACTTCACCTTCTTCTTCGGTAGATGCCATAAGCAATAGTAGCAGCTGAAGTGATGCTCAATATAATAACCACAATCCAGGTGGCATCTTTTTTTTATTTAACTTTAACTGTATCAAGTCCACTTGGTGGGTTGTGGCTATCAAATAAGGCCACACTTGATTTGCCAATAGTAGTACCCATTTGGCCCCTGATTTAATTAATAATGCATATAATTTGTAAGATAAGAAGGGGAGGAGAAGAGAACATATATATTCAGAGAGAATTGCTAAACCTCCAAAGCTTCTCAACGATTTCACCCTTTAGGATATGTTCCTCAACTAATTCAAGAACATCCTTAGCCGTGATGTATCCACACCTGCGTGATTAGAGTAAAAAAAAATAGTTATTTATGATCAATCCTCGCAGAATAACATACCACAAATGTATGTTTCTATAATTACAGACCATGAACACATATTATGGTGCATCAAATATCTAACATAAATCCATCAAACTTATACATATATACTGTAATTAAAATTAAGCGAAATATTCTCTGCAGAAGGATAATAAAATATAGCAAGCCATAAAATCTTGGTCTCACCAATTGGCAATTGCAATCAATCTTTTCCTCAAAATTAAGACCGGAAATAATCACATTGCCTACAAAGCTTCTTGTTTCCTCGTATGTGTGAATAGTCAATCCCCTAAAGATGAAAGATCTATGCAACTCAAATTCAAGCAAAAACACAAATTCAAAGTTCTATTGAATCAGTCACGATTACTCCAAGAATATGAATCCAATTTCACTCACACAAATGTTGCCAATTCAACATCATATTTAGAAACGTATTTGAAATCTTTGGGAGCAAAAATTGAAATAAAACAATCTTGCTCAAGATGTCCATTGTCAAGATTGTTTTCCATAGAAATGCAAGAAGAATTGGTGCACATAAGGCACAGCCAACAGCATATACCTTAGACCAGGAACAGTGAGTCGCCTTGGAACTGTTAATGGCAAGTGCATTAGAGAACATAGCTTCAAAAATGAAAACAATGGCCGATGTGCTTCCGTATCTTCCTCATTCCATCTCCACAGATTCTTGTCTCCGTCATATTGCCACATTAGTAGCGCACATCCACTGCAGCAACGAAGCATGTGACTGCGCATTACTCTCGGTTTCAACCTCAAGCAATGAGCTAAACATGGACTCATCCTCTTGATTTCCCATGGAAAACAGACTTCCTACAACTGGAAGCAATGGAGTAAACGCATCCAATTTCAGCCTTTGGGTATGGGTCCTCAACAGTTCATTAGCAGCAACGACAAAGGCATATACTACATAAATCGATACAAAAGCAATAGCAGCCCACACAGTCACTTTACCAACAAACAAGATTAATGAAAGGGCCGTAAGTGTAAAGATGAAAAACAAAATATCCCTTACAAAACACTTGTTATCAATCTGGACGTCCTGTTGCGCAACACAAAGTGAAACAGCCCCAACAACGATGCAAGTAACAAAGACTGCTCCTCCGAGCACACTGTTGAGCCCAACCTCCCCGGCTCCAGTCCCTACAAAAGCCGCAAAACTAGCAAATACATCAGGAGCACCAAGCAGAGTGACTCCAGCAACAGTTGGAGGGAGAGAGCTTCAACAGACTGGAAAGCTTCTCCAAAGAAATACAGAAATAATCGGCTGCCTGCCGTATTGCCTAATAGATAGAACAATGCAGCAAGCCAGACACCAAATACCAAAAAAGTCCATCCACTCTCATGGCAGTCACAATAGTAGAACTTAAGGTATTCCAAAAATCCTTGTGATTTACACTGACTGAGGGCGTGATTTCAAGAGCTCACAGCTACTATTGTATCCCTTGTGATCATAACAAGTATAGAGTCTTCCACATCCATGGAATTAGAATCGGATGAATTTAGATTAATTGAAAACTGAGGGCTAAGCTCCATTATTTCCCTTCTAATACCTGAAAACCCCTTATCTAAACTTGGAGCATAGAAGAACAATAATTGATTTCATGCCTGTTGAAATGCCACTTTATAGGATATAAACTATCGTCAATCTAGTTTAAGTTCATCTATGTCGCAAAGTCTAATCTTATGTGTACGAGGAACAACAAAGTAATGAAGAAAATGGTTTGAAGAAACACAAAAGAGGCCGCATATTCAAGGAAGGTATAATCCAATGTCGATATGTAGAAACAAGAGTAAAGCACAATTGAAGTGATGACTACGAATCCCACCTGTGAGTAATAGGATGTAAGAGTCTCCGCGTGCCGATAGAAATTTGATGGTTTTCCGCAACTTTCTCTAAGCACTCCTTGCTCTAACACACAAAAATTTAATGAACGCAAACGATGAGATAGTTTGCTTTCTTAAGTGACTATTCAGCTATTTACAATTCCATCTGATGAAAAATTCTAAGGACATCGTTCATACGAAGTGACATCACATACCCTTTTATCATAGCACTCAAACAAAAAATATCGGGCTCGACTCCATCATCATCACCATTTGCTTGAACAGGCACCTTATTGTCTCAATATACATTCGGTTAATATAGTTGTTCGTCCTGCGGCTCAGAAATGCTGCAAACAATAGTTTATAGGTACGAATCGACGGCCGGCAATCTAAATTCCCGGAAGCGCATATGCTTGTATATATTCACAGCCCTAACAAGCTTCCTATCCTCAATGAAGTAATATATCATGGTATTGAAAAGAGGCTCAGAGCCCAGGTTAGGGATAGCTAGAACCTGATTGACGATATCGTCCATTTCCTTGTACATTTTGGCCGCACCGAGCTTTGGATCGTGACGTGATAGGTGAACACGGTGTGCCTGAATCTGTGCTGCTGAGACGCCCAATTGAAGCACACCAATGGATCGTCCTGTTCGATTATCACATTGTGGAGATCCTCCGGGGTGAACCTAGGCAGCAGCTGAGATACACATTTTTGGAAACTGTTTTT